GTTTTATTGGACCGTATCAGATTTCGGAGAGAGTGGGGAATGTTGCTTATAGAGTGGCTTTACCGCCTAATATTTCGAATTTGCATGATGTGTTTCATGTGTCGCAACTTCGGAAGTATATTTCAGATCCATCTCATGTGATTCATAAGGACGATGTGCAAGTACGGGATAATCTTACAGTGGAAACGATGCCTGTACGGATCGTGGATCGTGAAATGAAGACTCTGAGGGGAAAAGATATTGCCTTGGTTAAAGTGGTTTGGCTAGGAGCTGCTGGTGAAAGCATGACTTGGGAGTTGGAGAGCAAGATGCGAGACTCCTATCCTGAATTGTTTGATTGAGGTAAATTTTCGAGGACGAAAATATTCTAAGTGGGGGAGAGTTGTAACGCCCGTAATTTAATTAATTATTTAATTAAATTATTTTTGGAATATTTGTGAAGATGTGTAATAATTAATTGGATTTAATTATTTTATTAAGTGGGTGAAATAATATTAGAAGTATAATATTATTTGATGTGGGCTTGTTTTTAAAGGAATAGAAGTAATAAGGGGGGTGTATTGGTTTTAAGCCCAATAAGGAATAAATAATAATAGGGTTATTTTATTGTTATTAGAAAGAATAGAAAAGAAAGAAGCAGTGGAAGAATAAGGATTGAGAGGAGAACGTGCAAACTGCTGGAAAAGTGGAAAAACAGCAAGAACGAGAATTCGATCGGAAATTGTAAAGCGACCTTCAATCCAAGGTAAGGGTGGGGTTCTGACTCTATAATTGGGTTTATGATGATTGGTATGTGGGGTTAGAGATGATTGTTGTCTTGTTCTTGAATTGAAAATATATGATTGTTGTATGATGAAGAATTGATGAATTTTAGATGAATAATAATGTCATGATGTTGTTTGAATCGATGTAGTATTATAGGATGATTATAGGTGATGATTATCCATGATTAGATTAAATTTTAGGGCTTTAGGTATGAATCCCGTAGTGAGATGCAAGGAAGAAAACGCAGAATATTGCAGGGAAGAAAAACGCATAAGTATGCATGAAGGATATCAGAAGTTGTTGTATTAGAACAATAAATTAATTTGGGGATAGAGTTAGTCGTATTGTTCTTAGTTAGGTTGTTATCAAGCTAAGAATAAAAATAGTAAGATTAATAAAAAGTAGCAGTTCTGATGGTAGAAGCTATGTTGGTTAGAAGTTGTGTTAGATTAGTAAGAAGTAGAAGTTCTGATGGTAGAAGCTATGTTGGTTAGAAGTTGCATTAGATTTGTAAGAAGTAGAAGTTCTGATGGTGGAAGCTATGTTGGTTAGAAGTTGCATTGGATTAGAAAGAAGTAGAAGTTCTGATGGTAGAAGTTGTGTTGGTTAGAAGTTGCGTTGGATTAGTAAGAAGTAGAAGTTCTGATGGTAGAAGCTGTGATCAGAAGTTGTGTTGTCATAAGATGTGTTGTCATAAGATGTGTTGTCAGAAGTTGTGTTGGTCAAAAGTTGTGTTGTCAGAAGTTGTGTTGTCAGAAGTTGTGTTGTCAGAAGTTGTGTTGTCAGAAGTTGTGTTGGTCAGAAGTTGTGTTGGCCAGAAATTGTGGTGTCAGAAGTTGTGTTGGTTAGAAGTTGTGTTGGTCAGAAGTTGCACTGGTTAGAAGTTGTGTTGGTCGTTGCGTTAGTTTTGTAGAGAATGATGAAGGTTAGATGCTTAGAGGTTGTTGTTTGAACTATAACAGTAGGATAGTGACGGTAATGACGTAAGAGTGACAAAATAGCAGTATTGAATTACTGTGGAATTAATGTACAACTGAGTTGTTTGTGAGAAGTTATTAACGATATTGTGTTGATGATTTATAATAAATAAATGAGGTTTGATGAATTATTATGATGATATGAGATGTTGATGACGAGACGTTGAGATGCTTTTGAGATGTTGTTAATTTGAGATACTTTTAAGATGTTGTTATTTGAGATGCTTTTGAGATGTTGTTAATTTGATATGCTTTTGAGATGTTGTTAATTTGAGATGCCTTTGAGATGTTGATAAATTGAGATGTTGTTAATTGAGATGTTGTTAACTTGGGTGTTGTTATTACATTCATGGTTGTGTCGCATACATTGCATTTTTGAGATGGAGCTTATGCTCGTTGAGATGGCCTGTATTGGCGAATTTTGAGATGAAGGCATATGCCTTGTTGATGCCTCTATTAATTGGCAAATTTTTGAGATGGGAGTTCTTCTCCAATGGTACCACATGCATTTGCATAGTATTGAGTCGCATTATATGATTGCATAAAGAAGTTGTATTGATGTTGAGAATGTGTATTATTGTTGAGATTGTTGTTGATTATGAGATGAGAAGTGGTGATGTTATTGATCTAATTTAATATATTAATTATCATGCGCTTTATTATATTGTTAGATATCTCACTCCTTCTGTTTGAATGTTGCCCTTATGTTGGTAACGTGCAGGTAATCGAGAGTGAAGGTTGTATACCTTCAATAGTTCGAGTCGGTGTCATTGCTCTGATATGTAACACTCGGGGGGATGAACGCTTGCTGTTTTGATTGTTGATTTTCAGTTGTTGAACTTTAGTTGATTATTATTAAATATGTGCTGTTTCGAAGTTGATGTTTTATTGTGAAAGATGTTATTGAGAATTCTGCTGCGTAGATGTTGAGTTATTTAATTAAAGATGTTATGATGATGGTTCATCCGATGTTTTAAAAAGTGTTATATATCCACGATGAATGCAATGAATTTTGATAGAAGAATTTATGACGTTCTGATTCGTTTGCATGAATGATTTTTATAACTCTGATTTATTCATATAATTGTTTGGGGTAGAATTTGGGTGTTACACGGACAAACTTAGACATTCGAGCTCAAAAGTTAAGTCCTCCCTATTTACTAACGAGTTGGCGAGTTGGCAGGTCGGCCCGCCAATTTTTTTAGTTTTTTTTATTTTACAATTTAATTTATTACATAATTTACAAAAAATTTAATCATTACTAAAGAAGTCGACAAAAGATATTTTTTTAACAACACGTAATATAACTTCAACATGTCTTAAGTCCAAACACTTAAAAAAAAATAGATAAGACCAATTTCAAGAAAAACATACTAAAATAGACTCTAGCACAATAAAAATAAATAAATAAATAACATATATCATCACAATCCTATTTAAAAACTAATTACTAAAAGAATTCAATTAATAATTTGCACAAGACAAACAATGATAACATTACAGTGCATAAAACATCACATTGCAGAAAATAGTCGTGTATAAAATATTAACATCTAACTTTCTCATTGTTTATGTTATATAGACTATTATATTGACTGATTCCTTAATAGTTATATATTAAATTTGTCACACGTATACTCTAATCGAATTCATCCTTTTCTTAAAATTAATATTTATTTCTAAAGAAAACATGTGAGCTAATATATTGACGACTTAGTAATTCTGCATGCTATACAATTATTTTTGTATTTCAAGTTTTTCCAACAAATACATGTATTAGAAAGTTATATAAAGAACCTTACAATTATAATTCAATTTGTCTGTATAATAATTTAAAATGTAATTTAATCACCATAATCCAAAGAGAATATTGTTGTTTTTATAGTTAATGTTGTCTTAATTCTAAGTAAAAAGTAAAAAGTTGTAACAAAAAGCTCGCGGACAAAACCTGCCACGCCTCGCCTAAACCCGCTTTTTAAAGCAGGTTAGGCGAGGCGGACCAACTTAAAGTACCGAGCCGAAAACCTCAGCTCAGCCCGCCAAAAATGATGTATCAAACGGACTGGCCTAGCGGGTCCGACCCGTTTTGCCACCCCTATATACTGATAGTGTAAAAGAATTTTTGATTATCATCTAATGGAAATATATCATTCTTTTATGTCACTTAAATAATTTAAAATTTTTAATATAACTTAACAAGATGCATGATTGTTATTGATTGACAATGAAAAAATACTTTACACTGTGTGTATATTTTCTATTTTCTCTTAATTTTATAATTACAAACATTTATTTTGTATATGATTTTTAAAATAAATTCACACATATGTGATTTATTTCAACAAAATATTTTAAGTTATCTTTAGGAGTTTGGTGGGAGAGAAGAAATGAGTTTCCAAAAATATATATTTTTTTAAAATATAAAGAAATTTTTAATATTTTATTTAAAAAAAATTTGTTTAAAATAATAAAATAGTGTTTTTCGTTAATTTAATTTTAGTTTTTGAAATATTATAACGACAAAAATTATATGAAACAAATTGATTAAGATCTCCAAAATTCTATTTCAATATAAATCTTGAGTTCTCTTAAATTAAGATTTTTGGTGTTACAGAGGAAAATAAAACTTTTTAAACAAAATCATTCTACTCTTTTCACCTAATCTTTGTTATTTTTCAAAATCCTTCTTTCTTTTTTGTCTCTCCAAATTCCCAAACATAGGCTTTTGAGTTGTTTTAAGAAAAACATTTGCGTCACGAATCACAGTAGTTATCCAGAAAGTATAAACAGAAGACGTGGTCGAGTTCAAGATTGAAAAACATAGGACTATGTCGATTTCAAGGTTCATTTCTCATTTTTCTTATTTTCAATTTCCAAACCCTAATTTCATACATTGCTTCTCAAACTCAAGGTTATACTCTCAAATATTCCATGACCAAGAAAAACACAATCTCGTTTCTTCATTCAATCTCTTGCTCCGTCACAATCCTACCCCTCATATCGCTGAATTCAACAAGATTTTAGGTTCACTTGTCAAGGCCAAACATTACTCCACTGCTCTTTCACTTCACAGGCAACTGCAATTAAACGGAGTTACATCAAGCTTTGTCACTCTGAGCATCTTGATCAATTGCTTCTGTCAATTGGGTCTCAATTCTCTTTCCTTTTCTGTATTTGCCAACATTCTCAAAATGGGTTATCACCCAAATTCCATAATTTTCAATACACTCATCAAGGGTCTCTGTCTCAAATTCTGAAATGCTTGCTAAGAGAATCTCTCCAGATATTTTCACATGTACTTCATTAATCTATGGCCTTTCCATTCTGGGTGAATTGAAAGATGCAATTCGTTTGTTCCATAAAATGACATTGGAAAACATCATCCCAGATGTGTATCTCTATAATACTTTGATTGATGCTTTTTGTAAGGAAGGAAAGTTGAAAGAAGCTAAAAATGTGTTTGTTGCGATGATAAAAAAAGGTGTAAAACCTAATGTTATTAGTTATAACTCTTTAATGGATGGATATTGTATGCTTAAACAAGTGGACAAGGCCAAGGATATATTCAATGCTATGGCACAAAGGAAAGTGACTACTGATGTTTATAGCTACAATATCATGATTAGTGGATTTTGTAAGAATGAAATGGTGGATGAAGCTATAACTCTCTTCAAAGAAATGCATTTTAGAAAAATCATTCCTGATACGACAACTTATAATTCCCTTATTGATGGCTTGTGCAAACTGGGGAGAATCTCATATGCTTTGGAGCTTGTCGATGAGATGTGTGATAGAGGTCAGCCACCTGATATATTTACATACTGTTCTATATTGAATGCTTTATGCAAAAACCATCAAGTTGATAAGGCAATTGCATTATTTAAAGAATTTAAAGACAAAGGTGTTCAGCCTAATGTGTGCACATACACTATTCTTATCAGTGGATTGTGTAAAGGTGGAAGAATAAAGGATGCACGAAAGGTTTTTGAAGAACTTTTGGTCAAAGGCTACAATCTTAATGTCTATACATATACCGTCATGATCCGTGGATTATGTAAGAATGGCTTGTTTGATGAAGCATTGACCATCCTGTCAAAAATGAAAGACAATGGTTGCATCCCGGATGTTCATACTTATGAAATCATTATTCTTTCCCTATTTGAAAATGATGAAAATGATAAAGCAGAGAAAGTTTTTTGCGAAATGATTGCGAGAGGTCTACTATAAAATTGAAAATAGGTAAGATGCTTAGTTAGGCCTTCATGCAAGATGTTTGGTTTTAAGCTGTTGCTCTTATCTTTTGAATGTCATTGCTGTAATGTAATCACAATAGTTCAATTGATACAATATCCCTTTGAATTTGTTTCCACCAAAAAATTTACTATCAACCTAAAGTAGCACTACTATTTACAGTTCCTCTCAAATGGGTACATGTTCAAAAGCACATCATTATCATTCACAGTTTAAAAAAATGTTGAAAATGTAATTGGGATCATGGATGCATGTTTGCTTATTTAGGCGTAACAGGTTGGTTAGAGAAGTAGAACATTGTGAGTTATGATTTCACTTAGGTTTGGGAGCCTTTGGCTTGGAGTTGTTTCAATTATCTAAAATTACAATATTTCCATTAATAGTGTCCCTTTGATTCTTTTCCGCCAAGTACATGTAGCAATTGGGCTGTTTATTTCTATTTGGAATCCTTACAAATGCAAATGTAGATTTAGGATACAGGAAGTTACATTATAGATTCAGGGAGTTGTATATTTGATACCAATTTATATGTAGATTTGTGATCTACATGTTTAGTAGCAGATTCTGTTTCTTGCAATTGTGTAATGCAAAAGTCAAAGTACTTGTTTCATATTTGTGAATGTGTTTCATGATTGGAGCATCAAGCATGTCACGGATACAATGTTGTTTGTAATTTTTCAACTCGTATATCCAACATAGAATTGCCTCTTAACACTTTGTCTAAGAATCTGACACACATTACTCTAGTAACTTGACAACATATATGTCTAAACCAATTTTTTTGAGTCAGCTCATTCATGTTGGTCGGATACAATTATTTTAGCCATTTTTTCAATAGTAGGAAACTGATGTAAAATAGATAGTGGTTGTACCTGCTCTATAGCTCCAAAGTAGCTTTATTGTAATTGAACTGTGAAAATAAATTTTGTTTTGTGCTAGTGCTTTTATACGCGGTTTTTAGCTCATGCACGGCGAAGTCTGTATCTAGTCTCTTTTATACAAGTCACCTATTTAACACGCTTCTGAGGATTTAAATAGTTGAACAGTATTGAAAAGAAAAAGAATTCCCCAAGTATATGTATTTGAGAGTTTATAATTAATAATCTTTACAAGTATCCTTTTATCAATGTCTATCAGAGGTGTTGTTATATGTTTTATCCTAAAATTTGTCTTCTCATTTTCTTCAAGACATTCTCATGAGATCTCTATTTGCTCAAAATTACTCAAGAGTTGACTGATCAAAATTACCTCCTAAGCAAGGGTTTTCAACTAGGGTTTGGTGCTTCTTAAAAAAAATTAGTTTGCAAAGGTCTCAAATGACTTTCATGGTTCATCATAAGTCCTCAACAATATTCATGTCAAGTTTCAAGCCTTGCGTCACAAATTTGCACAGTCAATTGCTTAGATGACTGAGAATCAACTATATTGGGTAAAAAGTCAATTATAGTCAATATACAGTCAAAATTCAAAAATCAAGAATCATCAAAACATTCAAAAATATCAAACTTGATCATCATGAAATCAAAAAGTCAAACAAAAGTCAAATTTGGAAAATTTTCTAACACTTAGAAAATTTATAAGTGTTTTTGTTCTTAACAAAAACCATAACTTCACAAGAAAGTTTCCTGAAGATGCAAGTTGATTCAAGGAAAACTTTCAACATGAAAGTTGTAGGGATTGATGAATTCTACAACTTTGTTAATGTGGGATGATCATTAAAAAGTGTTTAATTTAAGAGATATAAGCTCATGAAGTTATGATATTTTTTTATCCAACACTTAGAATTTTTTTTTACAAATTTTGATCAGATTTTTGTCCCAACTTCATTGTCATTTTTCACCAAGTTTCCATTTGATTTAGCTAAAACTCACAACATGAAAGTTGTAGACAGTGTTTCAAGCTTTCTAAAATGTCCAACAACACAATTTTATCATGCTTGAGGTAGGAGATTCGAAGAGATGAAGTTGGGCATCCATACTTGAATTATAGGTAATTTCTATGATAACCATAAGACAAAATCTCCAAGCCATGCTACATAATCCTACTTTTCAGCCTTAAATCTCCATATCTATCCATAATCAAAAGATTACACGAACTTTTGAGCCATTGTCCACTTGATTCAAGCTTTGTCTAAGACAATTTTCCATTAATGGTACAAAGGCACCATTGCCATTTACAAAAAGAAAGCTTTTTGCAAAAGTCAACGCATTGAGCTCCTCACTTGTTTCTTTTGATCACACTCCATCCTAAAGAGAAGAAGCAACCTTCATGCACCCAACAACTTCAGAACATGCTTGTACTTGAAGCATTGAAACTATAAAAATTCATCAAACTTGTTTGTTTCATATCAACCAAACCAAAACCTTGTAACTTGAAAACCAAGCCCTCTCATCCTCTAAAACCTCTTGCTTATAAATAAAGGGAGTATTTGCAAGCCAAGAAGCAGAGATACAACCTCAAAAACCTCTCAAAATCAGAAGCTACATATAAAACTCCATTTGTTGCAACTTCTGACCTTGAACACCAAACACTCAATCCACTCATGCGTTTTCACTCTAAATCATTTACAAAGTTTCTATAACTCATATATAACTCATCCAAAGACATGTTTCATCACTGTAACACCATCTTCATCATCTTTCAAACTTAAAAACAGAGCTTTGCAACTTGAGTTGTCCAGAAGAATCGGGGTACTCTCAATCCAAGGCAAGCATTGCAAAAGCTTCTTAGGAGTTCAGTGAAGCTATCCAGATCATCCTAACACCTCCAGAAGTGCTCTAACTTCAAACTCGATTCTCACTTTTGAGGTAAGTTTTCTAAACTTTGAAATCTCTGTACAAGCATCATTAGCATTTATTTTCTAAAGAAAAAATGCAGATATCAAGGCCCCTTTCACTGGTCTTCGATCCACAAGGCCAAGGCCCCTTCAACTTGCCCCTGTGTTTTCCTTTGACCCACAAGAAAATGACATCCTCTGGGCTTGCCTCCAATGCGCAAGGCAATGGTTTCCCTTCATGCTAGCGCCCATAAAGTAGTGACTTTCTTTCATATGTGCTTTGATTCATTAAATAGTTGGCTTCCCTCATGCTAGATTTAACTCCACCTCCAAAATATTCAACACACAGTTTTCCATATTTTGACACCTAGTAAGGTCTATTCGAAGGATACACCAATGGTGCCTTCAAAGGACGTACATGTGGTCCATTCGAAGAATACATAATTGTGGGAAACAAGCTTGTTTTGCCTTTTTATGAGTATTGATTCAAGATGCTTGCCTTCAATTCACAAGGCAAAGGGTTTCTTCAGACTTGCCTTTAATTCACAAGGAAAAAGATTCCCTCTTCATGCCTGTTTCTTTTTCACAAGTACAAGATTGCCACATTATGAGCACACATATGGTGCCTTCGAAGGACATATATTTGGTCTGCTCGAAAGACACATATTTGTTGGAAACAAACTTGTTTTGCCTTTTGATGAGGCTTGGTTCAAGCTGCTTGCTGGGCAAGAGATTATATGCTTCCCAACCCAAGCCTCATGCACCATTACATTCCTGACAAAGGAGGCTTCGATTGGCCAGAATGAAGTCTTCGTTTGGGTTATTTGAATCAAGCAGCTAAGGCAAATAGAGGGGCTCAATCGAAGAAGTCCCAAGGATGATATTTGAGCCATTCGAAGGACACACCTTGGTGGCCCATTCGAAGAGGGCACAAAGCATACATATGAAAGACCCCTTCGAAGGAGGCAACCAAAGTCGTACACAAAAGTTCCATTCAAAAGTCCATTTGAAGGAGGAAACCAAAGGCCCATTCGAAGAGTACACAGAAGTCCATTCCCCAGTAGAGAAATGGATAACTAAAAATCCTAAACTCTATTTCCCAAGCAGAAATCAACATTTCCTACAGAGTTTTCCTCAAAGCAAAGAGCCAAAATTAATGTTCCCCAGCGGAGTTCTCCTCAAAACGACAAAATCAGAAATTCCCAACAGGGAGAACTCTGAACAAAGTTTGAAGATACACACACTCTTCATCTCCAGCAGCAGTTTGGGATTTAGCTTCCCAAAACTCCCCAGCAATTTCTCAAAGATTTATTTTCCAGACAAAGATGCACTTTAATGTTTCACATTCATATATCATATCACATACATAACAAATGCATATAACATAATCTCATTTATTTTTAGAACATCATTACACCATACATACATCTGCATGCAACTAACCCTCTTCCTTGCAAAAACAAATCAATCATCATCAGTCAAATCCTCTTCTGGATAGATTTACATCTTCCAATTAAGGATAAGCAATCAATCAAGATCTCTTCTGGATAAATTCACATCTTCCAGTTAATGATAGGCAATTAACAAGCCTCCTCTGTTTATAATTGTTTCCCTAGTGAAATTACCAACTATGAGACCTCTTCTGGATCATAATTATCTTTCTCAGTTAAAGACAGACAAAAGACATCTACAGTTTCAGTATAAATCGAATAAAGATTTATCCCGATAATTCTTCCAATCTCCACCAATAGACATTCCAAATGGCATCTTTATACCCATTCCCGATACAATAAACCACATCATCGAGTGCAAATTTCTGAGCACTTTAGTGTTCAATCATCTTTCACCTTCAAGTCACGAATGGCGGATCCGCCAATCTAACTCTCCAGGTTTAAGAAGATTGAACAGGGGCAGGTTTAAGAAGGTTTAGAAAGTGTATTTCCCTCCTTCATTTTTTGACATTATGGTTCACTTGATTATTCATCTAGTAAGGGAGATTAGATTATATGGTCCAATTTTTTTACGGTGGATGTATCCAATAGAGCGATACATGAAGATCCTAAAAGGGTACACAAAAAATACACACCATCCGGAAGCATCAATTATTGAGAGGTACATTGTAGAAGAAGCAATTGAGTTTTGTTCTAACTATTTGTCAGGAGTGGATGCTATAGGGGTTCCCAAGTCTCGTCATGATGGA